GTAGCTTTTAACATTTCTGATAGTGGAGACTGTGTCAGTACATGTACTAATGTAACCCAGTACTGAGGATGTGTATTGGTCAAGATCAAGCGAACCTCCATTTTCAGCAGCTTCTCTGAAAACCTGCCAGTCTGTTCGGTCAAAACAATCTCTCAGTATGGGGCCACTGTCCTGGATCCAACATTTAACTTTCTTTTGAACCGGTCTGGAGCGTCTCAGCGGGGGCATGTAAGCAGGAGCCAGGAAGATTGAGATGTGGTCTGACAGTCCTAGGTGGGGGCGGGGTTCGGCTTTGTATGCATCTTTTACGTTCGTGTAAACACGGTCCAGCGTGCGGTCTCCACGTGTCGGAATCGTCACATGCTGATTAAAGCTTGGGAGACAGTCCTTTAGATTCACGTGGTTAAAGTCTCCAGCTACCACGTAAAGAGCCTCGGGGTGTTTGTTCTATATATATATATATATATATATATATATATACTAAAATAAATTGCTACTTACTGCTTGTACTACTAGTCCTACTTCATAGTTTTTCACTTATTGTGGGGCTTCAGGGTACAGATCCCCCACGAAAAACCAGGGGCTACTGTACTATAAAATGTGTTGTTTTTTTAACTGTCACAGTGTATTTATTGCACGTGCAGAGGAAAATGGTAAAGTTGCAAATTTGCTTCCTTAAATTTTGTTCACTGAGTTGAATAGTAAACAGTAGTTGTTTTGTCCATTTATAAAATAACTTGAAATGAAAATTGGTTCGTCTTTTAATGGCAAACGACACAAGTCATTTAAAATATTGAAGGTCTTAAATCAAACGTGAGGAGCAGTATCATTAAAAAAAATCGGTGCAGATTGGATCGACTTGAGTGCTTTGATATTCTATATATTATTTCAGCTTTTAGTCTTAAGTGACTAACGGCTGTACCTTCAGACCCTTCACCTTAAGCCTCCCTCACCCCCCAGGTGGCTCCCCGTGTGGACACAGCAGCTCTACACGTGGAACACATCATATGTCGTGCTGCTTTTGTTCTCTGTGAAGAGAAACCTTCATCCTGAAAAGAAAAGCTTGTACCCACTGGTACAGCTTACAGTCTCTAAAGAAACTGAGAACTAAAGAAAACTAAACTATTTGGCCACAAAAAGTTTATTATAGTTTATTATTTATTACTTTGAGATTTAACTTGGAGCTCTCAGACTCTGTTGTCACACAACACATCTAGGTTTGAAATTGTTTTTAGTGTATGAAACAACAAATAATATTTATCTTTAATATATCTTGACGTACAGTAGTCCCTCGTTTATTGTGGGGGTTACGGTTTCTATACACCCCCGCGATAAGTGAAAATCCGTGAACTAGGAATGTTGTATTGATTTTAGTATTTATATATTTTAAGGCTTTATAAACCCTTCCCACACTATTGCAATGTTCTAAACTCTTGAAGCTACATAATTTTAACTATATACATATATGTACTATACAGTACTGCAATATTTTATATGGGTACTCAGTGAAGATACTACTACAACTTAGAGGATGAGTTCGGCTTCAGGATTATTTGAGACTTTCCTTCCAGTTCTGTGAGTTAATAGACAGATCGTTACTTCTGACTTTGCGTTGCAAAACTATTTTTACCACATCAGTTTCTCCGCTAGCGTTTGCTCCCTCCATTGCTGTTGTTTGAATTTCGGCAGAAAGCAGCGGATGGAAACACTGTTGGCTTCTGGGTAGTGTAGTTCTTTTGACTTGTGCTACAGCGAAGGCTTATTGAAAGAAAACTACAAAATGGCGGCGCCTGTCCAAAGTATTTTTTTTTTTGCTTGTTTTTGTTTTGTGTCCTATTGGTTGGTTACTGCTGCCGTTAACTTTTTGTTCCGTACCGTCCCAGTCACATGAGTAATATTAAAATTGACAATCGTGTGTCGTTTACAGTCTTACGTTGAAAACCTGCGAAAGTCGAACCGCGAAGCATCGAGGGACTACTGTGTTCAATAAATCATTCATATTTTCTTATATTGTTGCTGGCTATAAATACAATATAGGTATTTGAGGCTACAAGTTTAATCCTTTTTTTTTTATCTTTAAAGAAAAACGTGTTTTTAGCTTTCAGTATTTTCTGCAGCAATAGCTTGTTTTAGAGAATCAGCGCAGTTTGTTCTCTAAACTCCAATTTTTAAAATTCAGTCTCTATCCTCAGTAATCCTTTTTTTTTAAAATGCAGGAAAACTGAAGATGAAAAAAAAACAACTTTCAAAAAGTTTAAATTTTCATTTTAAAGATTTGTTACTGCTCGTTGTGCACATGAAGCATAAACGTATTTCTTTTCCATTTGTTCCCAGATAAAGAAACGTCACTCGCTTTTCCCAAAAAGGAGCGCATCTCTTTCAGAGACGACCCCGTCCAGCTGAGCGGTGGATGGGGAGGAGGCAAGAAGAGGGACCGACATAAAACTCACTCACCCAAGTAAAATAAGAGTCTTCTGAAAAACACACCACGGTTTTCTTTGTTGTAATTTTCATTTTTAAAAGATTATGTGCTTTTTGATTAGATAGATTTTATTGTAGATGTATGTTTTTTTCCTTGTATGTTGTTTTAAGATATTGAGATTTTCACCATTAAATTTCAGAATAAAGTGCTATGAAACAGCGATTTCATTTTGGATCCTGGTTTATTTTTTGACAGCGCTGCATTTAATGTGTGCCATTATTAAGAAATATAATCTAAGGGGCTTTGATAGCTTTGTTAGTTTTTGTTTTCTTAAACTGCTTCATAAATGCATCAATGGTGTAGAACCTGAGCCGTTACTCACGTTTGTTGAGAGACAGAACAGCTACAGAGTCACTAGAAGTTTCACAGATCATGACTGTAAAATATCGTTTTGCAGGACAACTTTTGGACTCTCTGTTAGGAGCTGCAAGCTCTGGGACTCATTACCATCTGATTTTAAAACCATAACTGACTTCAAGGCTGAAGAATCGGCTAAAGATGAACCAGAATTGTACTCATTTTAAAATATTGTAATTGTTTTGACTCAGTAGTTTTAAATACATAGTTTGATATTTATTTTTCATCATTTTATTGTATTTACTGTTGACCTTAACTTTTCATTTAACCCACTATTAAAGGTCCTTCGAGGGACGGGTGTTGCGAATTAGCTTTGGCTCTGTACACTGTGATGCAGGCATTAGGTTGTTTTGATCTCGGTTTCTTGTATCTGTCCCTGTCAAATAAACAATACAAAGTGGCTTCTTTTGTACAAAGTAAAGAAAACTAGAGAAATTACATTTCCTGCTAAAATGCAGTGTGAATGCTTATTGCTGAAGAACTTGCTGAAAAACAGCTGAAATTAGTTAAAAACATGCTGAAATATAGCCGAAATTGAAGAACAAGCCTAAGTTAGCATAAGAAAGCAGAAATAACACATATCTGCAAAATTAGATTTAAATAAGCAGAAAGGATTTTTAAAAATTAGGAAATTAGCTAAAATTGCTGAAATTATCAACAAAAAAAAGTTTAAAAATATCTGGAAAGGCAGAAAGGAGCTTAAGCTACCAAGGAGGAAGTGGAAGGAGCTGAAATGAGAAAAAAAAAGTGGTATTAGTTGAAAAAGCTAAATTTAGCAAAAACAAAAAAACAGCAAAAAAGTAGCTGAAATAGTAGAAAAAGCTGAAACTAGCAGAAAAAAGCTGAAAGGAGCTGAAATTAGCAAAAATAACTTGAATGTATCTGAAAACAGCTGAAATTAGCTGAAAATTAGTAAAAAAAAAAGGCTGAAAAGGTAGAACAAGCTTAAATTGGCAGAAGAAAGCAGAAAGAACATGTTTACCCAATTGGACCGAAAGAAGCAGAAATGAGCACTAAAATGTGGATATTATCTGAAAAAAGCTGAAATTAGCAACAAAAAAAACCAGCGGAAAAGTAGCAAAAAAAAAAATCTAAAACAAGCTTAAATTACCAGAAGGAAGTGGAGAGAGCACATTTTTATATTCTATATATATATATGTATATGACATTTTAAATCCTTCCCACACTCTTGCAATATTCTAAACAATGCTTCTAAACTCTAAAAGAGCACAGAATATCATGACTTCAGCTCTCTGTCTCTGCTCTTTGCTACCTGCAAGCGCTCTTGGCCACGCCCACTTCTTTGCTGTGCACGGTGAACAGCTGATCAGCTGCAGCGAGAAGTTTATCCTCCAGTATGGGCTGCACAAACGTGCAGGAGGATGGTTAATAAATTTAAATAATTCATTTTAAATAAAAATTCTGTGTAGATCATGCAGCTCATCCATCAATCAGCCAATTGTGTGTCATGTCCAATCTTATTTTGAAAAACTGATAGAGCGAGTCTGCGATAAACGAACCGCGAAGTTGCGAGGGACTACTATATGTATATTTAAAAAAAATATATATATATATATATATATATATATATATATATATATATATATATATACATATATATATGTATGTCTGGGGATCCTGGTTGGAGAACCACTGACCTTGAGGTTATTTAAAAAGTTTCATCTTTGCAAACTTTTCGTGTATTTTCTGACTAGCTGAGCTGCATCCTGTAAGTCAACGTAAAAAAAAAAACCGAACCCAGGTCATGTTTTAAAATATATTTATTCTGGGTCTGGGTTCGGGTCATGTGTGACCCGTGCAGCATGTCAACACTAACTCCAGGGACTCGGGAGTCGAAGCTCGTCAGAGCTCAGGAATGCTTCATTACTGGAAGAACAAAAGACAAACAAACAAAATGAAAACAATCTCTGAAATTGCTGCTTTCACTTTTTCTTTCTTTCAGGACCAAATGTTCCAGACGACATTAAAGCTTGGCTCATTTTGGGCCTTTGAGTAAAACAAACTCTGGGTCCTGTTGTGTTTTTGTGGCGAGCCAAAGTTTAAAGACGTTTCAGTAGATTGAGTTAAAGCTGAGTGTCTCTGGGCATCATGATGTCAGGCTGCTGCTGCTGGAGTCATGTGTTCTGGACCTCAGTTTGGGTCATTAGGACCTACATTCAGAAGAACCGTTAATATTTGAAGCACTAATGTGACTGACCAGCAGATCTACAGGCTGCAGCGTCGTGTTGTATTATTAGTTTTTGCCTCTTTGTGTCACACGACGTTAAAGAATCAGTTCGACTGATGAACACGTGACGAGCCAAAGCTTCACACGCTCGTTGTTATGGCTGGAACCTGCAGACACAGGCCCACCAGAACCACAGTGAACCTTTCACATTTTCTCCTCAGCATGGGTGAGTGTGCAAGGTCACCTTAAAGCCCAATATGCCCCCCCCCCCCCCACACACACACACACTCTGCTACTTCAGGACAGCTTTATTTATTTAGATTTTTCCTGCTGCGGCACCGTGCAGGTAACCGCTGCTGACCCCGGAGCGAACCAAAGCTGAGCAGCAGGTGGTGCAGCTCAGGCTGGTGACCAGTCCCGATCAGCAGGACCAGAACTCTGACGACCCGACCCCCCCCAGAGGGCAAAGTGTCCACTCCTGCAGGGAAACCTCACGCCCTTTGATCTTTTATTTAAAGAACTTCGTAGATCTTCACACAAACTTGATGCCATCCAAGAAAAAAAAATTGAGCTGTTTCCATCCATCCATTATCTTTTACCCGCTTCTTCCATTTTGGGTCACGGGGGTCGCCGGTGCCTATGTCCAGCAATCACTGTGCGAGGGGCGAGGGACACTCTGGACAGGTCACAAGTCCATCACCGGGACACATAGAGACAAACAACCATTCACTCTCTCACTCACACCTAGAGACAATTTAGAGTTACCATCAGTCTAACATGCATGTTTTTGGTCTGTGGGAGGAAACTGGAGTACCCGGAGAAAACCCACGCATGTACGGAGAGAACATGCAAACTCCACCCAGAAAGGCCCCCGACCGGGATTTGAACCGGGGACCTGCTCGCTGGAAGGCAGCAGCTCTACCTGTTGTGCCACCGTGCCGCCTTGAGCCGTTTCATGGAGTAGAAATGATGCTGATCACTGGAGTCACTGGTTTCCTGTTTCAACGTTTGACTCTAAATTTAATGTTTGTTTTAAAATAAACACAAATAAAGGACATGTGCCTAAAGATTCACAATACACTTGTTTTATATGAGAACAATGCAGGTCATTATTATTATTATTATTATTATTATTATTATTATTATTACTATTATTATTATTATTATTATTATTAGTAGTAGTAGTAGTAGTATAGTCGTAGTAGTAGTAGTATAGTCGTAGTAGTAGTAGTATAGTCGTAGTAGTAGTAGTATAGTCGTAGTAGTAGTAGTAGTATAGTCGTAGTAGTAGTATAGTTGTAGTCGTAG